GGAGAGTAGCGCGGTGCACGGGGTCGAATCCTCCTCCGCGGGGCAGCAGCAAAGTGAAACTCCGTCTGGCGCGCGCGCGCGCGCGCGGAAAGCAGGTCACACCCACATCGGCCGTTCGCCGAGCTTATAGCTTTATAGAGCCAGTCGCGCCGCTGCGAGCGAAGCGCATGCAGAGGAGGTGACTGAGCACGCACGCAAGCGGCGCATGAGCTGTCTCCGGCTGTCGACTTTTGTTCAGCCTACGCCAAAACCCCGCTGAGCTTGACCGTCGACGCTTTTCCTCTACGCGCGCAACCTCTTTCTTGTCTCAGCTCTCCTCTCTCTCTCTCTCTCACTCTCTCGTTCGATTTGAGGAAACGCATTCGCATTGTGAGCGCGCCTCTTCCTATTGCGCTCCGCTGTACAATGACTTCTATTATGGGCATCGTCGGTGTTCCACTAGTCGCCCGTGCGAGCTTTCTTGTCGCGCAACCTACGTCGGAGGCGGCTGCAGGTTGTCTGCGGCGTGGGCTGGCAGAAGGCGCCACCAAGGTCCAGATGGGCGCGCGAAAGCTCGCTGCAATAGCTCTTGGAATAGCTCGGCTGCTTTGGCGTATCAAGTGCAAGCGCCTGTCCTCTCTTTCTCTGTTTATCCGTTCCCTTTTTCTATCTCCATCGCTCGCTCGCCCATTCACTTTCTCCGCTACTCCTCGCGCGATCTTTCTCTACCCCAGTTCCACTAATTAGCTGTAAAAATAAGTATAAAATTTCACTTTGACATTGTCGCTTTGCTCTAACTTTATCGCTTCAGCTCTCTCTTTCCGCGTGCCGTCCGCGTGCTCGCGCGCCTCGCTCCTCTGCCCCGGCTTATTTGCCTGACTCATCCTCGACTTTCTCTCTTTTCTGTTAGTTTCGTTGTCTTTGGAATCCGGAACTTTGGGAATACATCGATGCGCGTACAGTTGGCGGCCTCTGCACAATTATACCGAGTGCTCGCCTCGAAACTGCGTTGGCGCTACTATTAGACCACCTTTTCTTTGGCATGTCTAGTCGTTAATCGCTCCTCGCCAATGACGATCAGTGGTCAAACCGAATCGATACTCGCGGCTCCGCGAGCGATCAACAGGGCGCACGCGCCGTGCGATATTCATAGATTCCAGCGATGCCGATGGACCTTCCGAATTGTACAAGATGAATAGGCGGAGGACCGCGACTAAAATGCTGCCCGAAGTAATCTCAGGCTCGTTGGTGGGCCTGTTGTTAAGCGTGACACACAAAGTACCCCTTTGTCTCTCGATCTTCCTCTCACTTTCTCCATCCGTATCTCCATCTGCGGGGCTTGGTGGGTAGGCTGTGAGTGTGTCTGTATGTGTGTGTGTGTGTGTGTGTGTGTGTGTGTGTGTGTGTGTGTGTGTGTGTGTGTGTGTGTGTGTGTGTGTGTGTGTGTGTGTGTGTGTGTGTGTGTGTTATGCATAATATCCGCGCGCAACTACGAGACCGAGAGAGGAGAGACTTGAGCGCTATCCTTAGACGGTGGTAGTGGCGGCAGTGAGTATTATAGCGGCCACACATAAAACTTTATAACATCCTTTTTTTTTCCATGTGCATCGTCGCCACTCTCGAGCGATATAACTCGCGCGCGAAGTGAACGGCGTCACCGTTGGCAGAGCTCTGGCCCTAACCCATATGCACTGTGTGCCAGCCAGAATAAGCGCGTTTCTCCCTCTCTCTCTCTCTCTCTCTCTCTTTCTCAGCTGCTCGCGCGAGCGGTAGATGGATAAGCGGATATAGGTGCGGGCAGATAGATAGATTAATGGATTTTGATCCGCTGCCGCTCGCCGCCAAGACCAACGCTCGTGCAGCTTCACCTCAACGCGAGCGCACTGTTTTATTTTAAAACCTCGTCCCCAAAGCACGCGCGTACACATCAACGCGCGCGCGCGCATCTTTGATTTTCGATGTACCATACGAACGATCGATACTGCCGATCACATACGCGTTTCTACGCGACTGTCTCTTGACGAACGATTCGCTGAGCTAATCGAACCACATCGGCTTATTGCATATTAAATTTTCCTACTCGTACGTACGAGCGAACGATTCGTTTTGTTTTCCATTTTTTATGTTACGAACACGTCAATTCGTACGAAACTGAGTATCGAGTTATAAGTCATTCTTAAACGCATTTTGGTGAAAGCTATTCGAACTGTATAGGTCAATTTTATGACAAAGTTCAGTGAAGTGGGATGAATGCTCAAAAGATTATCATTGCAAATTGAGCCATTCAATTTTGATCAGTGCTCGTCCAGTGCTCGTCAATTCAAATACTTTTATGTTACTTTCAGTCAGTCTAAACTCTCCTATTTTATCTGTCTCTCAACAAAAAAAACTTACCTCGAAAAATACCGTTACCTTTATAAATCCATGAGAATCGTCAACTTATACTCCAGCGTGTTAGTGAGACGAACAGATTCGATTCTAAAAAAAAACCACAGTCAATTTTGATATTATCATTCAAAGGCAAAAAAAGAAGATGCAACATTTCTTGGGATTATTTATTACGATTTTTATTAGGCAATTATGCAAATGAAACAACGAAAAAAAGTGAGAATTTTTATGATAGCAGTGTTCCCAACAGTGGATTCACGCATTGAATACTTAATCAAAAATTCCGCTGCACTGTTGAAATTTGTTGGTGAAACTCCGTCGTTAATAAATTTCAGCTGATAATTCGCGTTCTTTCAAGGTAGACATAATGGCGTTAGAACTGGTTCCCAATTTAGTGCATCCTTGAGACGTTTATTATAAATTGATCGCTACTTTACTATTGACGGTTGATTATATTTATTGAGTTGATATGGCTTTTTATAAAAATAATGCGTATACGAAATCGTTCCGAAATATTCAGTATACGGACAGGGCTTCAGTGATTAGTTTCTGTCAATTAATTCGCAGCCGTTTGAAGCCAAGTAAAAGCAGAAATTATAATAGAAGAGGTTTCTTTACCACTCTTCTTCATTAAAGCTGTAACAGAAGAGGCACGCGAACGCAAAATCGCAAACCATCACAACATAAAATACCAATTCTATACTTTTTACGTGCATCGCCACAAGGAAGTATACAAAATATTTACCATGTCACGTGCTAGTAATTGCAAATTGTTTTGTCTAGAATTGTTTGGAAGTTTATTCATGAGATCATCTGATCATCTGATTGTTTCAATAAAGCCAATTTCACTTGAAAAAAAAAAAGAAACTGAAAATAATAATTTGCAAATAACATAACTTTTTTCGCATGGGAATGAAATGAAAGTATGATCGTAAAGCAACAATATTATACGTTGTTTAAGATGCAATGGCATTTTGTTAATGCTGCTCGACACGTGTTGTATGTTAAATAGGAGGAAAGAAAATCAAACTATTGGTTAATTATTCCAAGTTTGTAAGGAATCGCTCGCTGTGTATTATCAAAAAGAGCATTTAATATCAATAAATTGATATCGTGGAAAATAATAAGAGCCGCTTATCTAAATTCGTTCAGTAATACGCCTAAATACTTATTGATAAAATGTGATTGAAATATTAGATGAATACGTATTGTGATTTTCATTCTTTCAATCTTGTAATGCACGTTTGAATAAATAGCAAGGTATATTCATAAATCATAGCCACTGTTTCGAATGGTCAATATTCTCCAAATGACGATTTAATTTTAAATTGACAGATTAATATACATGTGTTAGACCGCTTTTAATTGATTAATTTGACAACAATCGTCTTGCTCTAGATCTATGAAGATCGTTTATGTACTTTTTCTCGTAGCCTTGAAAAACTGAACTTGCAAATGGAATTAGTCAATCAAGTAGATATACTAGGTTTTTTTATTTTTCGCCGTAAGATCGGTATCAATAATAGCTCGTAGGAATCTGTAGTTTGGAAAGCGAGCTGCACCTGTGGCGACGGTGTCAATCCATTAACCTGTATGCCAACGAAATTGCTCGACGTGATTCACGTCAAATGAATTTGCATTTAACGGACCTCCGTTGAAAGGAAATCATCGGCTGTCCCATACTCTGCTCATCGAATGTTCTCTGTTTTCTTGTTCTCGTCATTTTTTCAAAAGCCAAGGTTCATCAAATGAAAAGGCAGGTTTTCTATGTTGTTTTATATCAAAATATATTTGTGCATAGACAAGATGACAACCGTGACAGGTAATATCGTACCCAACAAGCGTCGTCACTCATTCTCACGTAGACGCATTCATTCGCGCTCTTATACATATAATGGACGCACACGTGCATACACCCACAAGCATACTGTAGAATCAGCCGTTCAAAACCATCTCTGTGATTTTCACAAAAAATATATATATATATATATATATCTATAATGTGTATATAATAAAATATACATAATGAAAACCTCTCTCTTTACATATATTTGCATATTTATGTATATATAATATTTATAATGTAATTGTAATGTCACTCGCTCGCACACAACAGTCAACAGTCGAACGAATGATGAATGAAGCCCGCTTCACACGATACACGGTAACTGAATTTTCGGGACGACAGAGGAGGCCCCTGCAGGTAACATGAACATTTTGTGCCTTTCGTACGTGCTCGCTGTGCATATTATTGGACATTTCTCACGTATACGTAAGTCTTCCAAAAGAGAGAAAAAAAAAATCGAATGCCTATGTGTATATCATTAGAAGGTATGTGTAACCGCGCAAAATTTTTTTTACAATAACGTTGTCCTGTGCTCCGTTCCCTGTCGCGAGCGACGGCAAAAATGTAGGCGCGCGCTCGTTCGCCGCCGAGACGGAGAGACGAAAGGGAAGCGCGAGCTTGGAAACGGGTATCAGAGCCCTCGGACGTCTTACGAACTAATCACATTGTACTTGGTTTTGAGCGGGCCAAGCGGATGGCGGCCGCTCGTCGTCACGAGTCACACCAGAAGAATCTCGCTGTACAAAATCGCCTCGGAGGTGAGCGCGCGCGCAAAGTAGAAAAGGGGGCAGTAGCGGGGCTCGAGGGTGGCTCGAGAGTGGTAACTTGGGCGGGGCGCGCGGAGCAAGAGAGAGCGCATCGGGGGCTATGGTACAGAGGAGGGCCCGCGAGCGCGGCGAGCGCGGCGGGCACTAGGGCGGGCGCTACATGGGCTGCACGTGCTGCTGGAACTGGTCGATGTGCCTGGAGATCTCGCGCTGCAGCGGCTCCGGCAGCACGCCCACGCTGCTGAAGAGCGAGCGCAGCACGTTGAGCTCCTCGGTGAGGATCTCCACCTTCTTGCGCAGCACGTCGTTCTCCTTGACGAGGTGCTTCACGCGCTCCTCGGTCTCGCGCGAGCGCACCTTGGCCTTCTCGCGCGACTTGCGCACGGCGATGTTGTTGCGCTCGCGGCGCCGCCGGTACTCGTCGCTGGCCTTGTCCACGGACTTGCTCTGCTTGCGCCCGGCCGCGGCGGCCTGCGGGCCCAGCAGGCCGGCCTGCTTGAGCGCGCCGGGCGCGCGCGGCTGCTGGTGCGGCGGCTGCGGGTGGGCCTGCGGCGCCGGCTGCGCGTGCAGCGCGTGGCCCAGGCCCGAGGGCGTGAGCGTCGTGAAGGTGGGCTGCTGCTGCGGCGGCTGCTGCTGCTGCTGCTGCGCGCCGGCCGCGAACGGCCCGGCGGCGGGCGCGTAGGCGGGCGCGGGCGCGTACTGCTGGCAGTGGCGCCGGTAGTCGCTGGGGTCGATGGGCTCCTCCTTGATGCTCGGCGACTCGCTGCTCGAGCTGTTGCTGTCGCTGCAGCTGTTGTGGCTGCTGGCCGCGTGGTGGTAGCTGCCGGCCGCGGCCGCGGCGCTGTGCACCGGCTGCGGCATGTAGGCGAGCGCGGCCGCGGCCTGGCGCGCGTACGGCGACTGGCCGTTGGCGCCCGCGCCGACGAGCGGCAGTCGCGCCGCGGCCGCGTGCTTCAGGCCCGCGGCCACGATGCCGTTGCTCGCCGCGCCCAGCATGTCGAGCAGGCCGTCGTTGAAGTGCGAGTCGTCGATCATCTGCTGCAGGTCCACCGTCATTTCGGGGTTGTTCAGATCGATCAGTTCGCCGGCGACCGCGCAGTGCTCCGCGTACTGCTGGTGAACAGAGGCTTTTGAAGCCGATACTTTGCTTACGCCATTCAAGGCCTGATTGTGATTTACCTGCAGGCTGCTGTTGTTGTTGTTATTGTTGTTGTTATTATTGTTGCTGTTGTTGTTGTTGTTGTTCTGTTGGCCCAGCAGCTGGCTCGACTTTTTCAACTCGGCCTGCAGCTGCTGCTGGCCCACTTGGTGAGCTTGCGCGTCGTACATGTTGGGTGAATCCATCGACGCGCGACCCTCGCGATGATCGATCCTGCTCTCTTCGGTCCCTTCTCACTGTCTTTCTGTCGAACGACGTGCCGAACAGTCAAACACACATCGCACCGATCGAGAACGCCACTCTGATCGACAATGTCTTCTCTCTTCCTCGCTCTCTCTCTCTCTCTCTCTCTCTGTCGTTCTATCCTCTTGTTCGTTCGTCGATCGATTCACCGAGCGATTCACACAGTCCCGTCGGGCGATCCTCCGTCGGAGGCACTTGTCATCGGGCAACGTTAACTTTGCTCGGGTCGGGGTGAGCCACTGCACCGAACTGGCGATATCGAATCACTGTCGCTGCGGCCGTCCTCGTCCCGATGGGCTGCACGTGCCGAGCGCGCCTTGCCTGGCTGCTTGTGCTGCTGTTGCTGCTGCTGCTGCTGCTGCTGATGGCTACAACTCGGTTGCCGAGCGCAAGTGCGCGCTTGTACGCTAACGTGTGACGGAGCTGCGAGCTGCTCAAAAGCGGCTCTCACGAGAGTTGGCGCGCGACTGAGCACCTCCGTGGCATGTCGCAAGCTTTCAATGTGCCTCGTAGCCGCAGCGGCGAAGCGAGAGAGAGAGAGAGAGTGAACGCGCGTAAAGCTGGCCGCGCGCTGCAGGCCTGCGCCCAATCGCGCGCTCCCGACGGGCCCCACCGCCGACCCCGCGCTCTCTCCGGCCGACGCTCTATCAAGCTCTAGTCGCGGCACACGAGCACTCTCCGCTCGTCCTCGCCCCCCGCCGCGCTCGCGCAGCTCTCTGTTTTTATCGGCCATTTCTTGCCCACTCCGGCTTCTGGTCTCTTCCGTCTTGCCTACGTCCACGCGCGGACGGCTCGCGCTCTTTGGACTGTACCCTGCGCCTCGGCCACGCTCCGCTTTTACCCTCCTTGTCCGGGGGCGAACGCGGCTCTCGCGGCTCTCACGGCTCTCACGGCTCGTCCCGATCCTGAGCGCTCGATCGCCAGTGCACGTGCAGCCAAACGCTCGGCCGCGCGCATGCGGATCGCACCGAAAATACACGGAGGAAAAGTGCGCGGGCTAGATGCTCGCGATCGTCGGCTTAATAATGCCAGTTGAGATTGCACTCGATTGCGCAATCTTGAGTAACCGAAAAAGCTTGTCTCGCGCTCGTCGCTCTGCGTCGATCGTCGGGGCACGTCCGCGATCGGAGTCGAGCGTCCTAGCGTCTTCGGGCCGGCCCCCGAAGTCGGGGGTGACGCCGCGCCCAGCGAGCCACGTCGGGGAAAAGCCCTTGCACGCCGTAGTCGGATTTTCTGATTCGCTGCCGCGCCAGGGGTTGGCTGTCCCCTCCACTGTCTCCGAAGACTAATCCAGCCTCGTTTCGCCTGCGCTTAGGCCACTCCTACCGCCACGTACCTACTCTCATTGTTTCGCGCTTTGCTCCGATTGTAGGTTGTGGACCCTTTGCGCTTTGCGGTCCATGCTCTTCGATTTGTATCACTGATCAAACATTTTTCAAATTCAGCGCAATGGTGCTCAAGATCGTCATTCTCTTTAGCTGCGTTCGCATTTTACATCTTTTCAAAATCTTCCAACTGTCGTTTGCATTCTTGTGGATAGTTGTCGACAATCCGACACACGGACAAATGCCGTTACTATTTTACGTTCCATTTTTATATGCGAATAATGTTTTGTTCGTTCAGTAAACACCTCGTAAAGTGAAGAAATATTTTTATATTTTTATATTTTACCATATAGTATTTTCTTGCAACTACAGATGTTTTTAGAATAAGAACATCTATTAAACAGTAATTACTCATTTTTATTATTATCGATTAATGTAAGTGCATCATTTCATTTAATATCGATAGATTCGGATGCTAATAGCACCCTTCCGTCCTCAACGATATTGATCACCCACGTCTATTCATCGTTTTTCAAATTCACAGACGAGTAGAAGTACAGCAATTTTTTATTCACATTTTCAATATTAAAAAATTTTTTACTTCTTAAAACTCCGTGTAAAATCGTAAACAAAATGTACAAGTTTATTCTGATCATTTTTTCATATAATTCTTTCAACATTTTTTTTATAAGCATCTAATCACAGTCTAACTTCACGTCTCGAAGGACTCGATTTAGTTAAAATTATGAATACTTATTGTTTATCAATTAAAGTTCATCAGTTTTCTTATTTTCATTCTTTCAAAGTGCAATTCTGTTGAGCACATTATGCTATTATCTTAATTTTTTAAGTGTATGCAATGAACCAAGTTAAAAATCAGTCATTTGAATTATAAAGAAATTGGAACGATAGACATTGTATTCTTTCTGTTCCAGTCAAACTGTTTAATATAGTGTTTATTTTGATAGACGACTCGTTCAACATAAACGTTATATATGAACTTGAATTTTTATAAAAATTATCAATAGACGATAACTATTAGCTATAGAGAGAAGATTCTATTTTCAATCAGATAAAGGGCTAATAAATCAATGCTAATAATTTTTGCACGAAATACACATTTAATATAATTTAGTAAATTTTAATGTAAGAAATCATGAAATTGAAATCAAATTATCAAGACTTCGATTCTAAATAAAGTAGATACCAATTTTTTGTCGCTATTGTATCTAATGTGAAATACACTGCACCATATATTAAAAGTAAATAGTTGAACTGTTTTCGTGTAAATAACGAAAAAACATTTTTCTAATTGAAATGGGCGAGTCACTGTGTATAGGGTACAAAAAAATTCTGTTTATCAGCATTATTGAAAAATACCTTCTACCAATAAAGTAAACATCTATAGTTACAGTCCCTATATTTCATTGTTGGTAAAATAGAAATTTTTAATTGTTTAGAATATTTATACACGTATACTCGATTATCAAAGTATTTCAATATTACACATTGATCATGTATTACACCCTAATGTTAAACATAATTAACAATAAATTATGTGACAAAATTTTCAATATTACCAACCGAGAATGCCATTTGTTCTAAAAACGTTATCGAAACCTTGTAGTACATTTAAAATTTTAATATTGATATTGCAGATTGAAGATTACTTCCACGAATTGTTACAAACAAAAAATAACCATATAATTTTAAAACAATCAATGAAACCAACTTTATATATCTTAATTAGTATATAGTTTGTAATTCAATATGTGTATGATGTAAAATCACAATGAATTGAATAAATGAAAGTATAATACTATCAGGAAATAGGGAAGAAAGAATTACTGATTTTATATACATAAAATGAATTTATATGTATTTACTGACAATATTTAAAGAAGCAATAATTTCATTGTTTCTTTTATTTATTTGCTTATTGTTATTGTTTTTTGGTTCACATCAAATGCACTGATATACTTTTAAGTTAAAATGTCAACTCATAATTCTGCACTGTATGTAAAAAAATACACTGCCATTTTTTTTTGTTTTTCTATAATTCATTATTTTGTAATTATTTCAGAAGTCATTTATATATTGTTTGCATGATAAATAAAGTAACACAAATTAATTTGCTCTACTGTTTTGCGGAACTATTTTTTTTTCTATTATTTTTAAACATAGACTTGAACCGTTTTGTACATAATTCTTTTCTATTACTAATGAAATAAAAAACCGCTCACTTATTATCTACATCTTACAACTCCATGCTAATCTGATTACAATATTGTAATCTTGATGAATTTTTATCATCAACTATATTTTGTGAGTTATAATGGAAACATATACAAATACTGTAATGAAATCATTGTTGAAAAATTAAAATATACACAAAACTGTATAAATGAAACTAAACTTAATGTATAGGTATATGAACTGTCGTAATTATAATGGTCGTATATGTCGATGAAAAATTTGAATTTCTCAATGAAAATTCAACGCTTCCGCGCCATGAGTTGATCGGCGAGGCATCGCCGTGGAAAGATGATCAATTAGATGAATTCATCTAATCATTATTCCACATTGATGATTACTGACCTGAAATTAACATGGTTTTATGTGATTAATATGAAATAATAAGGTTGAATATGAACAAATAAAATACAATGTCTGAATAAACTATAGAATTCGATAGAAATAAAAATAATGAAAATCAATGTAATCGTTGAGTATAATTGAAAAGATAAAAAACAAAACAAAACAAAATAAAACAAACTACGATATTGAAAAATGAAATTGTTAAATAAACAAAAGTAAGTGTGATGAAGGCCTGAAAAAGAGAGAAACTCACCATGACGATGCAAAATGGCACCGCGGTCGAAAGAAAATTGTCGATTTAATAGGGCTGGTGCCTCTGGTTTTGACGGCCACCACCTCTCTGTTTTCCGCCAAAGCCTGAGCCTCCTGAAACACAATCAGTCGAATGTTTGAGACTTTATTTTACTTTATTTAAGCAAAAGATATCTACTCTCTACTTCACTAAAGCCAAAAACTAATTTGCTAGCTATAGAATTTATTTGATTGATACTAGTTAATAAAACAAAATCAAAATTAAAAGTAATTAGTGTAATCGCGCTTAGTATGAAAATAATATGCGCCAATTCAAGAATTGATAATCCTAAGTAAAAATGTGTAACAGAAAACAGAGGCACTGAATTTTTGAACTTCTACTTAGAGGCTACAGGCTTGGGTAGTAAGAGTTGCAGATAATTTATTTCACAGTGACATTTTCAAAGGTTTTATTTCTCTCTCCTTTTATACCTTTTATTCTGATTTGATTCTTTGTGAACAGAATAAGGAATACCCTAAATTTTCTGCAAACTCTTTTTTTCTTGCCCATAGATTTCCATTATTTTTATTTATGTGCAAACTTTTTTTTTATACAAGTGATTACATGATCAATGCAAGATGAAAAAATATCAGTAGCAAAAGCATAGCATGCATGAAAAATATTTGATGAATATTTTTTTAAATTTTTGTATTGAGTTGTGTATGATAATTATAATTATAAGTTATCCTATGTAAAGGAAATATAAATATGATCATTAAATTTTTATGTGGTAGAATAGCAATACTTTGCATGTAACATGTAATTGTAATCTGCCTTTAATACCTTCAATATATTATGTTCAATTTTACTCAAGGGAATGGTTACACTGATGTATCTAGGCATAAAATAAATAATTGTCGATCCATGTGCGCGAGGGGTATGAATATGAAAGATAGTATGTGTTTTATTAATTTTAATTGGAAAGTCTAAATTAATTACTAATAAAATGTAGGGAAACAATACAGAAAAGCAGACAGAAATGAAAATTGTGGTTATTTGAGTAATAATTGTAACTGAACAAAAGGAACGCTAATGCGTACCTTTGCCGCGTGCACCACCGCGCCCACCACTGTAGCCACCATCGTAACTACCACCGCCATAGCCATAGCCGTCTGCATTTTCATGGAACATACGGTATGAAAATAAGACAGTTCCTTTCACTTATAATTATTGGTAGTCGTTTATGTTGATTCATTAAAATAAATAATCAAATATAACTGATATGCCTCTTCGCGCACATGATGGTCATTACGAAATACTTCAATAACAGATTAGCCACATCACTATGTCAAATTAAAACAATGACTATTGAATTAGAAAAAAAAAAAAAAAAAAAAAAAAAAAATTTACAAATAGATAACGTGCATGTTTATCGCGAAACATATGTTTATAAAAAACCAAAATAAAAACTAAGATACACTTAATAATTTGGAAAAAGACGTGTTTATAGCCGTAGCCATGAACTTTAAAGTATCGAAGAATCACGAGAATTTTAAGATGTAACACCATTTTGATGAATATTACGACGTTGAAATATTTTCGAATATGACATGTGTATGAAGAATAAAGAAACTTGGCTTACCGTATCCACTGTAGTCATAACCACCGTAGCCTCCATAGCCACCTCCGTAGTAGTCGTAATTTCCCCCATAACCATCATAGCCTCCACCGTATCCTCCTCCATATCCGCCTTGGCCATAACCACCGCCATAACCACCCTGGCCCCATCCACCTTGGCTACCAAAGCCTCGGCCGCGTCCACCGCGAGCACCTCGACCTCCGCGACCCATTCCGCGCATACCTCCCATTTCAGGCCTGGGTGTGGCTTTTTTCACCTCAACATCTTTGCCATTGATTGTTTGTTTTGAAGTTTTCAACAAATCGTTAGCAACTTGTTCGGACTCGAAAGTTATGAAACAGAAACCCTTTCTCTGATTTTTCGTCTTGTCAAATGGCATCTCAACATCAATGATCTGCAAATTAATGATCATGAAAACAAGAAACGTTCGACATATATTACTGTTTACGAGGATTTTCAAATATTTACCGTTCCAAACTGAATGAAGAAATTCTTAATGTCATCATCTGAAAGTTCGGTAGAAAGACCTCCAACAAAAATTTTACCATGGCGTGCCTTTGCCTTGGCTTTTTTGGGGTCAACTTTCTTGTTGTTTATGATGTGATCACCATGTGCCATTGCCTGCAATAAATTTTATTTAATTATAGTTATATAAAATTGCATGTTTGTTAATTATTTTTCAAACGTAAATTTCTCAGAAAGTTAATTTCTTCAATTCCAATCAGTAGCAGAACTGACTTTTTTATATCATCACATGAGTTTGAGGAAAGTTAAAATTTTTAAGATCATTTTGACTTTTAATAATACCTTGTCTAAAGATTCAACTTTGGAAAATACAATGAAAGCAAATCCCCTTGAACGGCCAGTGAATGGATCAGTTTTGACATTGATACTTTCAATGTCACCAAACTGACTGAAATGATTCCTCAGCTCTTCTGAAAAATATTAAATAAATATTAAAGTAATATATATTGATTCTTGACAAATGATCTGAAGAAAGAACCAAATTAAAAATTTAGATAAAATTTTAAGCTCAGAATTTCTTAGTTGTCTCATATAGCAGTGCCATTCTGCTTTCTGAAGGTGTCCTAAGGTAATATACATCACAGCTTGACATTCATTACCAGTAGTATAATAAAAATATAGATTGCGACTTTGAAGAACTATATTATACAATATAACTAACTATACATTATCATAATTAATTTGTACTCACTTTCTGTTGTCTCCCAGCTGAGTCCACCAACAAACAGCTTTCTACACGATGAAAACAGAAGAAAACATCAGTATTAAATATGTTTCTAGATAAAATTATTGAAATAACAACATTTTTGTTCAGTTAAATTACTAATTATAATGTAACTATCGGAAGTTCAAAATAATTATCACTGAAAAGCTGTGAATTAATATTCAAATTTAGTAATAGGCAATGTTTATTTTTGATAATAAAACTCAAAATTTTACAGTTGTTTATTTATGGCAATCAAACATTAGATTTATTGATTCACAATTTAATAAAAAATTACACAATTATCAGGTACTCGATGTCAGCTAAACGAAGTTTCAATCTGCTGGATTAAAGAGAAAACTGTTCAGTATTCAAAATTTATTTCAAGACTAACTTCATCAAGGAAAGCCAAGAAAGAAAGGAAGGAAGGAAGTACCTATCATTCAGTGTATCCTGTAATTCCTTAGCAGACCTGTAAAGGTAATTTTAGTGGTATTAACTTTGAGAAATACCACAGGATTATCTTATTTCTTTAAAATCCACTAAACATTTGGCCAATAAAAAAAAAATAAATAAATGAAAAATGAGTTTTTTTGCATCACAGTTCAAGTTAGATAATTAGTAATTTACTAAAATATGAACTCCTGGAGTGCGAGAAAATATAGCCCTGTTAAGTAAATAGGTTCAACGATTGAAATCCGAAAAACTCCAATTCAGTTGATTCTTTACATAATGTCAACAAAATTGATAAGATTTAAATATTGACGACGACATCGCAACTGTAATACATTAACAAATATAAAATCACTGTATCCATGAAAACGATTGAATAGCATAAAAATAAAAATTTACACAACTCGCATAACATCGCAAGAAAAAAAATTAAGATTACAAACTTTCACAAGAATTATTAGATTCGCAAGTAGTTTAAAAACTATTATAAAAAAGACGTAAAAAATGCATTTCAGGCGAATTATAATACTATTAACACATCTTAACCACAATTGCTGTAATCAGTCTTCAAAATTGATCCAAATCAGTTGTACTTTTACAATTTACCACGTAAATTATCTTCAATTTATATCTTGTCATAAAAGAATCAAGAGTTTTCGATAACACGACCCTACTAATGATCGCGCAGAAACTTTGGGAATTCACTTTGTATGACTAGATCAAAGTTTTTAATTTGAGGTTTGAACTCCGCTGCTGATAAATACCGTGGAGGCAAGTGCTTCCGAAAGACGTCATCTGCTCTCTGATGTAGCTGTCAGGTGTTGGAGCCACGAAAGCAACCATCAGCAAGCACCAGTTTCATCACGGAGATCCATTTTCTCGTTCGTTGGTTTGCTACCTGCAGACCAAGCCACACAAATTGGGGTTAGTGGCGTTCCAAGATCCTATACCATATTCGTTTGATGATTTAGACAAGATTTTTAGTCTTTACTTTGATACCTCATTTAATTTTTGCTAACAAAGAGACTGTGCTTCAGCTCACGATGCAATTGGCACTTATATTGGAGTTTTTAAATCAACTCAAAACTTGAAATATAATATAAACTGCCAACAGACATTACTTTATCAACAAGCCTGAAACATTATTTTTTTTTTTTCGAGTGCAGAAAGTTTTTTCAATTACTTTACAGTTAAAATTACTTAACAACTCTCACAATCCAGTAATACGACTATCAACACTTGCGCTTTATTCAGACAGGACATTAGAATTCATGAAATATATTCACAGTTAATCAGAATGCGTCGAAAATTTGAGCACGCAAATATAAAATTAGCACTATTACTCGAACATTCTGAGGTTTTACAACATCTATAACATCTATCCAATCCAATCTTTGAACATGGTTTTCACCATTATCTTTTGAAAGCCACAAATAGTTTTTCATTAATTCAGTGAAACGTCACATTATAAGGTACCGTGTTAATGTGAATAATGACTGTATCAATCTTCCTTCAAGATGAAAACTTGTAATTCATAGTAGTCAATATAATTGCAATCTCTGACCAACTTCAAAAAAATTACTCCAATAAGTAGCTTTATTCAATCCTTGAATTTGAACAGTCAATGTATTCAGAACTATTATTTCTAATTATTGATTAATTAAAAGAATAGAAATTTATTTTAGGAAATTAGTCTCTAATTTACATTGCGAGTGCACTTCAGCATTTATCTCAAGTCTCACTGCTGTACAAAGTTCAAAAACACCATTTATACAAACTTTTACTTGATGCAATCCTTGGAATAGTAGCTTTTTAGAAAATAATCATGAGTCCATTATAACTATATATGAAAAGATGGTGCATTTATAACTCAAAAATTGTCTTAGGAAATTTAATTATAGAATGCATACATTCAATCACATTTGTTAATCAATATGTTCATTCTGTACAACATTATGTCAATTGCACCTGTTTTTGGATTGATCATGAATTTTTTATGAGACTTCGCGAGAATTCTATTTATAGGTAGATCTGACGTTTTGAAGTATCGAAGTTTGAAGAATTGATGTAGTAGAAGCAAACGTTGATTATTGGTAACCCAAGAGGCAAGATGTATTCTGAATATCTTGATGTTAAATAAACAGTTAGACAGCTGCAAAATATTCTAAATTCTAAACTTTTTGAAAAAGTATGAATTACAGCAATTTTTCTTATAAAAAATATTAATCTTGAATACTTAAATTCTAGTGATTACAAATTCAAACAGCTTATCTGGACATTAAAATTAATTAATTTATTACACTTAAGATTTTCAATTCGATATGTTATTATGGATCTTAAAATAAATAAATTAATTAAACGTTTGTCGAGAAAAATGACAAACTAATCCTGTTGGAAAACAGAAAAATTTTCCAAAAATTACCACCTGAAATTGAATTAAAATGTTATGTGTTCAGTGTAAATGTGTGTGCTTAGTATACACAGCCCCAGGTGATTTTTAGATCCTACAGTTTTAAATGGAAGTTCAACATTCTAAAAAAAAAGTTTCAATAAACTGTATTTAAAGAAATGAGAGATATAGAATAAACAGTTGAATAGAGTATTAAAAAGAATTTTTAGACTTACTGTTACAATATAGTTATTACTTAGTTTTAACATCTCTACTAATTGATTAAAGTATGCAATTATTCATTATATAAACTTACCGTTTACATATCAAATGCTTTATTTAATGTACAATGAAAATCTCAAAATAAAACTTAAAGAGAGTACCAATGAATAAAGTTTTACATATATCTATCAATTATTAATCAACATGTTTGAATATGATAAACAGTTCAATAAAAATTGTTTATGTAATAACCTTAAATATGAAAATTGATTTCTAAGAAGTCATAATTTCTATATATCTTTCATATCGATGTAAAATCCAATGAACGAATGTACGTAGTAAAACGTAGAATAAAAATATTTATGTTACATAAAATCAATTTTCATTCATTATGGTATAGTCAACAATATGTTCATAGGGAAAAGGGAAAAAATCACGTACTTCCGCGTTAGATAGTGACGCCGCAAAAGCGACGCCATTAGGTGGTATGAGAAAAAACTCAACGGAACGCATTTATATAGCAAGCACATGAAGATTCAGAATTGAACACCAATTTCCTTGGTGACTTGGAATAGACGTCAATACCGATAATTTTTACGCGTTTACTCTGAAAGCCTAGACGAATATCGAAGCATAAAATCAAATGCCAGCGTGGCTGCAGCTAAATGGGCAAATTGCTGAAAATACCACTTAAAGCAATTGTAATTGTAAAAACGAAAGTGTATTATTGAGTTGATAAAGTTTGCTTTTCATGAAAAAATGTAAAAAATTGTCAAGATCTACGGCAATAGTGCGATGTTTACGGATTACCGAAAAATTCTCGGTGGCCGTGTGCGGCGTTCGCTGAAAGCCTCGATGCGACGGCCATTTTAATCGACAACGCGAACACATTTATCGCTTAAAAAACGAGGCGATTCAACAGACTATCACATCACGTGCTTCGATTAACTAATTACTGTTAAAATGTTCTATCACACGTAGTCTAGATTGAAAAACGTGGGATTAAATTGCTTGATAAATAATTCGATACAACGCTAGAAAAATTCGAATGTGTCGACAAACGAATATTGAATAGACGAGCGAGCTAAAGGAAGGAAGGACAAAAGGTAGGAAAGCGAAAAAACGAAATTATAACGTACCTGTCTTCCTGAGATTCTTGTCCATTTTCGGTAGCATCGCCTCCTCCAGCACCGGCATTCTCCTGATCGCCATTTTCCGCTTCTCCATTCTGCTCAAAGTTTTGTTCGGCGACGTCCTCGCTGAAATCCTTATTCTCTTGTTCAGTCATAGCTAGGCTTCTACTTCTATTTATGCAAATAGCAAATGAGACTGTAAAGGTCAGACGGCAACGAAGTAACAAAATCTGTCTTATCCCTACGAGTACAGACCGTCGAATGGAACCGACCGAGCAATGAGGACCTCGACAGAACGTATACTATAGTGACGCGCTCACTGCAGAAGGGTGGGGACTATGGGGGAGGAAGATGGTAGACGCGCCAAGCGTAAACGCAATGCATTATGGGTACAGATCCAGGTGGCGCTCCACTCATCCGCTTCCTCCGACAGCACTAACGTCAACGCTGGCTTGTCAGGGCCGTAGACTACGTATCAAATGCCTGAGTCTGTTTTCGCCCTTCAACCTTGCATTCTGCAGGATGCACGTTACGACATGCGTATATTTTCTGTATGATTTTTTTTACTATTCGTGCCAATTAATTATTATTTTTGGACGTTACTTGCTAATATTTATCATTTATCACTATCATATTATAAAGTAGTACATTACGATACAAGTAAAGAGTTTCTCGTCTCGTGTGGCGTTTACGCCCGAGCGAAGCGAGAATCTACTTTCCCATGCTTGTAATCGTAATGTACTACAAATATATATTCCCAAACATTATTCAATGCATAATTAATTTGATCTGCTGGAGCGTACTAGATAAAATAAGCAATAGCTTTTGCATACCATTGTTATACTATTAATTTTTTATTTTTATATCTCATAACTTATACCCTGTTACTTTCACCAACAACCTTACCTCTGCAGACGTCCATATATTCGTTGCTCCACGTATAGTTATATCACGTGCTCTCTTTCTCACTCTAGTTCGAGACCGTATCATCAAGGAGTTCCATTAAAAAAAAACATTGAGATATTTTAATAGTGTATACATATATGTGAAAAAATCATACTGTTCGAATTAAATGATCTATTCATAGTAAATATTCCAGTATGATTTCAAAAGATAACTTCTATGATGTCTTATTTTCTTAAAACGATTTGTTAACGGCATATTTCCATTTTTGCAGATCATTGTCAATATTAATTATTTATAAATTGAGTTTACTGCTGAAATGTAAATCTTATATTTTTAGATATATATAATAAAATAGGAAACTTCAAAATTTTGTACTTTTTTTCCGTATCAAACAACACAACGCTAAATGTCTGCGATGGTGAACAGATCTACTGTTTTTTAGTTTGTTTGATATCCTACTTCATAAACTAACTTTCCGTAAGAGCTGATGTTATGAACTTTAGCTTTCAAATTTTTTTTCTTATATTAACTTTGTAATCCACTTTCAATTGTTGTAAAGAATCATAAAAAATATTCATACGATTCTATTACAAAAATAACACAAACGCTGAGACTATACATATTAATCATATATAATAAATTCAATAAGTTATTTATTAATAATTATTATCAATCATTTTTATTTCATTTTATAGATACAACTAAATAGTTTTTTTACACCAACAGGCTGTGCTAAAATTAAGTGGCAATACAGGACTAGAATATATACAGGGTGTTTCATTTTAATCCGACCATGCGTATAACCTAGTAAAAACAAACGTTATCAAAAGATGACTTTTACAAAAGTTGTAGGGGATTGAGTGGGCTACCAAATACTATCATCAACTTTGACCCTTCATTCGATTTGCAAGGTTATCTGAAGGTTAAAGTTCTTTTTTTAATTGGAACCCCTATTTTTGATCCCGGAATCGTGTAGAGCGGGAAAAATAACATCCAAAATGATATTTCAAGTTTGTATTTACGACCTGAGAAGGTCAATTAAAGGTCAAATGCTCAAAAAACTGTATTTTTATCATACTGATGTCTTTGTATAATTAATTAATTAACTTAATTAAATCTCTGATTCTCCATTATGAATTTGTCCCCTATTTATTATTGAAGTAGATAATTTTTTCAGTTAAAAATAATTTTTCATATTGATTTTGACCCCTGTTTATTGTTACATATAGTTTATATTTAATATAGCACTACTTATTGAATAGTTAAACTAATTAAATTTCTTTTGTTTAACATTGTTTTCTTCTTAAATTTAATAGTCGCAGAAAAATTATCTCGTTTTTTTTTACTATGTTATAATCAAAATTTTCACTATGGCTGATTACTCAGCGGCTGAAAGGGTCGATATTTTATTAGTTCTTGGTGAATCTAGGCGTAATTACTGACAAGCTACTGCTCTTTATCGAAATCGATATTCCGACAGGAGACATCCGAGTCATACAACAATTTGTGAAATTTACCGTAGAGCTCAACAAGGGCAACGAGCACAGGTTAGACAACGTCGTAATTACAATGAAGAAGATATTCGTGTAATAGTGGTTCTGGCAATGGTTCATTTAAATCGTAACACCAGTACCCATGACATTCAAAGGCAAACTGGTAAACCAATGGCTACTGTTTGGAGAATACTAAGAAATCATCGTTATCATCCATATCATATCACTTTGACTCAAGCCATCACACCTGCTGATATGAGATTACGTCTACAGTTTTGCCAATGGGTACGACAAATGATTGCCAATGATCCAAACTTTTTTCAAATCGTAATGTTTTCAGACGAAGCAAACTTTCAAAGCAATGGGCAGCTTAATCGACATAATTGTCAGTATTGGTCGGATGTTAATCCGCATTGGCACAGGCAGATAGATAATCAAAATCGATGGAGCCTAAACGTATGGTGTGGAATTGTTAATGGATACCTTATAGGCCCGTACTTTTTCGATGGAAATACAAATATGCATAATTTTTTACAGTTTCTGAGAGACCATCTTCCAGTACTTCTCGAAGAAATAGATTTTTACAAAAGTATAGAAGTATAATTAGAAATAGTAAGAATAATTAGACAATATCTCGATCAATATTATCGTGACAGGTGGATTGGACGCATCGAGCGTGGAATTTTGGTGTTCGATAGCCACTAAGATCTCCAAATTTAACATCATATAATTTTTATTTATGGGGATATTTAAAAGATATTGTTTATGAACACGAATCAACAACAAGAGAAGACATGATGCAAAGAATTCGAACCGCTTGAGAAAACATCCCAAGGTCTGTATTACTCAGAACAGTAGAACAATTTAAGCAGCGAATACAATTATGTATTCAAAAAAATGGTGGTATCTTTGAAAACGTACGTTGAATTCTAAAGAAAAGTGAGAGGCAAGGAGACTGAGTCTAATCAAGCATCCCAAAGGGAACACAATCCTGTTACGTCCACATCGTTGTTCCTGGGTGATGCTAATGGTAGGATTAAAATTTGACCTTCAAATAACCTTGAATATCGATAATAGGGCCCAGGACATTATCATATTCAAATTGAACATTTTTCCATTTTCGGTTCCATGATAAAAAAAATGTTCTGTTACAACAAGCACTGTAACTTTCAAATGACCTTGCAAAATGACTTCAAAGACAGCATAGCATTTTACACAATTACTTTCAAAAGGTATCTTTACAATATTTATTCTACCAAAAAAATAAAAAAACCAGTTATTAGGAGGTTTTTTGAGCATTTGACCTTCAATTGACCTTCTCGGGTCATAAATACGAACTTGCAATATCATTTTGGATGTAATTTTTCCCGCTGTACGCGATTCCGGTGTCAAAAATAGGGGTTCCAATTAAAAAAAGCACTTTAACCTTCAGATGACCTTGAAAATCGAATTAAGGGTCAAAGTTGGTGATAGCATTTGGTATCCTACTCAGTCCCCTATTACTTTTGTAGAGGTCATCTTTTGATAACGTTTGTTTTTACTAGGTTATACGCATGGTCGAATTAAAATGAAACACCCTGTATATATAGTGTGCTGTTTCTAATCTAGTCTAGTCAATAAAATTCGGGATTCAATCATATCATCTACAAGAAAATTCCTCCAAAAATTACTTATAAATTTTTCAAGGCTCAGTAATGAATTTATTTCCGAGTTCAATAGCTACGCTGAAATTCTTGTTATAATTAAATTATTCTTCAATCATTTTTAGTCAGAAAATATTTACTTTCAAATATAGATTGAAGGTTATTTTAAACTATTGTCGAATATTCTAAAAAATAAATATTAGTGTTTTGCATTATAACAAAACACGTATTATATGCGAGCCGGAACACGGCATCCTTATGAGAGAAGCTATCAAATTCTTTCGCCTTAATCATGATTATTTTACCTGAATTTACCGCTTTGATCGTTATTTATTCCAAAATCCAGAAGATCGTCATCGCTCAGCGGATGCGTCTAACTTCATAGTCTTCTCATATTCAGTAAGATACTTACCAGGATGCCGTGTTCCCGCTCGCATATAATACATGATTTGTTATAATGCAAAACACTAATATTATATGCTATAGGCCGGGTACACGGCATCCTTATGAGAGACGTGTTTGTTATCTACTGGATAATACTCAATGCTATGTGAAAAACTAAATAAAATATGTCAATAGTAAGTCAATGAAACTGCGTTAAAGGATCGTTAATAAAATTCGGTTTTATTAACAGAAATAAATTGAAACTTGATTATCAAACACAATGAAAATTACTTGAAAGTAAACTTGTAGAATTTCGGTTAATACACTGGACTTCCTTGCAATAATGATTACGGAAAGTTTCGATACATTTCCAATTTCCATGATCTAGAATATCCTGAATTGGAATATTATCTAGCCAAGCGCGAGAAGCTACTGCTGAACGAACACTTCCGGGAGAGGCATCTATATTCGCATCTTTCAAAACAGTACGAATCCAATTCACTATGATAGTGCTAAAAGCAGCTTTCTTTTTAGCTGTTATTGAAACAAATAAAGGTTCTTCAACTAAATCCTTTCTTCTTTCACTTGAATTTTTTAAATAGGAGTCTAATAAATAAATAGGACAAAGCCATTTGTTCGGATTTCTACTTAGTTTCCAGCCTGATTGTCTGAAAGTCGCACGGTCAGTTTTAGAACCAAAGCTTGGCCAAAATATAATCTCGCTATCAGACTTTTCAAAATGTTGTTCAGAAACTTTTAATAGAGTCAAGTCGTGCTCTCTTCTTCCAGACATTAACAAAAGTAAAGCAGCAGTTCGTCTAGACAATTCAAATAGAGATAGTTTCACTGGTTCAACAGCTAGCCAATTCATTAAAATTTTAGCATCCCACACAAACTTTTTCTTTTCGACGGGATTAGCAATAGAAATGGCTTTAAAAATTTGTCGAACTAAGAAATCAGAAGAAAGATCAGCTGATAGTCCTCCTGAACAAAATGTTAAAATTGCAGATTTATGCAAAAGAATTGTATTGTACGCTAATTTGTCTTCAATAAATAAGCTAGCTAAAAATCTTGCCAAGTCACTGCCGGAAGGAAAATGAGGTTCTACTTGATTTTTGGAGCACCAATCTAACCATCTCTTTAGTGGAACTTTATAGGTGTTCAAAGTTGACTGACGCCAACTTTGTTTAAATAAATTGAGTGCCTCTGTAGGCCAGTTAGTCGTTAATCTTGACCACATCCAACTATCCACGCTTGCAAAGTAAGTTGATCTACTTGGCTCGGTGGATGACCTGTCGATAGATCGATCAATAACCGACTCAATTCCGTGATCTCTATCGGTGGTTGAGTGCTCCGATTCTCTAGATCCGACATCCAAAATGTCTGACTCCACTTGGGTGCAATTATCACATACTGACCTTGACACTTGTTTAGGTGCGCCAGGACTCTGGGAATCAGACTCGGAGGTGGAAAGACCCAAGCCAACTTGAACTGCCAAATTTTGCTGAAAGCGTCGATGAAAAGGGCTTGACTGTCTGTCGAGTCGATTGTTACATATCGATCCACCACCGCTGATCTCGTTGATGCAAGCAGATCGACCTCCGGAGTGCCCCACCGATTAAAAATCTTGTTTGTTGCCTCCGGTAATAGATGCCACTCGGGGAACGACTTTTTCCTGGATAGACGATCCGCGATACCGTTGTACTTGCCTGGTAGATATGCTGCTGTCAGTGTCACATTTAGTGAATCGACAATTTCGAGCAGTTGATACGTCAAATTGAGAAGTTCTATCGAGCGAGTACCACCTTCCTTGTTGATGTATGCAACGAGAGTGCGGTTGTCCGACTGAACGAGAATGTGAGAGTTCTGGAGAATTCGCGAGAATTGTCGAATTGCCGCAAAAACTGCGAACAACTCTTTCTTGTTCGAGTGCCAAGACATCTGAGCCATTGTCCACGAGCCCGATAGATGACTGTTGTCTAGTAGAGCTCCCCAACCTGCATCTGCAGCATCCGTTGTAAGAAAGTTTGTGACAGGACCCTTGTGAAGTTGAGTTGAGGTGTAAACTGCATTGTTCCACCAACTGAGTTCGGCTATTGCAGGAAAATGAACGGCGCGCCTTTCTCGTTGTCTCGACTGACGAAATTGTTTTTGAAAACGTTGTAAGTTGCGGCAATGAAGTCGACCTCTGTGGACAGCGAAATTGGCAAAATTGAGAGTGCCCAATAGACTTTGAAGTGCTTTGAGAGTACAGCTCTTTTCTATTAAAATTTGGTCCAGTGTCTCCAAAATTTTTATGATTTTGTCTTTCGGTAAACGCACAAGGTTTAACTTGGTGTTCCAAACGAGTCCGAGAAATTCGATCTCTTGAGATGGCTCCAGAACGCATTTTTGCGGCTTGATCAGCCAACCCAGTGATCTCAAAAATTTGAGGACCTCGGGTATTTGCGAAATCAATTTGGTTCTGTTTTGAGAGGCCAGAAGGAAGTCGTCTAGGTAGACAATCACTCTTACACCTTGCGAACGAAGGATCTCTGCAACCTAATTCGTTATCATCGCAAAGATGTAAGGTGCAGATGAGAGGCCGAAGGGCAAGCTCGTCATCTGAAGCAATTCCTCCTTGTAAACGAGACGAAGGAGGTTGCGATGAGATTCCGCTATTGGAATGTGAAAGTATGCCTGACTGAAATCGATTTTTACCATCCAGTCGTTGTCCTGTAAAAATCTTGGAATTTGGAAATGCGAAATGAGACTGAATTTTGTTACTTGAACGTGATCGTTCAAATCTCTCAAATCGAAAATTGGACGACTTCCGCCGGAGGACTTTTTTACCAAAAACATCTTTGAAATGAAGCTGTGCTCGATTTTCGAAGGATTTTCCAAAATTTTTTGTTGCTTCAACAGTTGAATTTGTTCGGACATCATTGACGATTTCTCCGTTTTAAAATTAACGCTCTCCAATTTCGAAGCAACGGAGGTCTCGACACAAGAGGAATTCGAGTTCCAGAGATTATTTTGAGAATATGAAGTGGGGCCCCGAGTTCTTTCCATCGCTCTTGAAAATTTATGAGTCGGCCTCCTGAAAATTGTTCGTCTATCATACAGTCACTTATCTGCTTTTTTACGAAAGGAATCGTCATTCTTTGGTTTAGCCTGGTCTGTTTTTCGAAAGTTGCCTCTATAACCCTTGTTATGATTTGAACGATGATTTTGCTCATCTCTCTGAGTTGGAATCGGCTGAGAACCGTTATTGTTGCGTTGTTGATTGTTACGTTGATAACCTCTTGAAGTATTCTGCTGTTGTTGCTGGTGTTGTCTAAAAGGTTTTTTGAGATAGGATGGAGTATTCAACCAAACCTGAGCTCCTCCTAGAGATTGCATGAGCGAACAAAGGTTTTCTTTTGTAAAAAGATGCTCGGAGCTTGGAGGAAGTCTGCGCAAAGCCATCCGCAAATTTTTATTCGGGATCTCTAAAATCAGTTTTTCCCGCCTAGCCTCGACACACTCAGCTCTTTTGCCACATCAAATCTGTAAAACTTGCTCATAATTTTTAATAATTAAAGAATTTGAGCCAAATAGAGAATCTAGACGTTCGAATAATGTTTGAGGATTCAAATCGTTTGGATTTGTTGTAGTCCAATCAGCAATACTTCGCGAATTCTTTTGAAGCAAATCTCTGTGTTCCAGTATGGCATTTGAGAGTCCTGCCAAAGCGCGTTCAGTAGGAGCAACAGGATCTTTGCCTTTTTCTAAGTGGCAAAGCTCTTCGTTGACTTTCAACTCGATAAAACCAGGGGTAGACAAAAAACTTCTCAAAGCAGAAGAATACCTAACATCTTTCCAGTCACTCGTGCAGAATCTTTGTAAATTAACAAGTTCGTTTAAACGAATTGGACGGGTTAAAGGAACGGTGCGTTTTTCATCGACAGATGTTTTCAAATCACCAAATGACAAAGTTTTAGATTCAGCAGGTCTGGTCAAAAATGCTGTTGGATTTTCAGTCATACCTTTAAATGAAGAACATGAGGCAGAATTTGAAATGGGTAAGGATAACTACTTCAGATAAACAATTTATTTGTTGCTGCATAACATAAAGAGCGTTAGGATGACGGCTGTCAGTGCGTGCTCTCTTTCGAGGTGGTAAGCTTCTTGGGTGAACATAATTGGCGTGTCCATTAGTCTCGGAATCAGTCTCCGAATTGCTAGATAACCTGCTCGGTGATTCCACAGTCGATGTCTCACTGTCAATGTCAGCCTCACTGTCATCGCTATTCTGAACTTCCGAGTTCATGTTTAGATGGTAGAATAAGAGTACTAATATTAAAATAATTAGTTTTAATCCCTTGAAAAAAGAGCAAAATTTCCCTTTCTTTTCCTTTTGACGTGTTTACACGGCGAAAAACTCAATGCTATGAAGTTAGACGCATCCGCTGAGCGATGACGATCTTCTGGATTTTGGAATAAATAACGATCAAAGCGGTAAATTCAGGTAAAATAATCATGATTAAGGCGAAAGAATTCGATAGCTTCTCTCATAAGGATGCCGTGTACCCGGCCTATAGCATATAATGCCTTATTTTGTAAAACTGTTTGAACTTTTAAAAGTGTTGTACAAAATTTTATGACAACAAACGCTATATAGAATTTCACATTATAACTGAATATTTATAATACTTAAACTAGATATTTTAATTTCAATTAATTAAAAAGGTGTTCTAATTGATTAAAATGCTAAAAAGAAAATGAAAATTTTTGCAAGAGGTCATATTTTTTAAGTTAGCAGAGATTTGAGTAGTCGGGCACAAATATTTAGTACGAAAAGTATGTCTTATTGATTATTAAAATATTAATGGTAAAAGGTTTGAACGACAACCAACACCTGGCCGACACTTTTGATTTGAAGGAAGAAAGAAAAATTAAGTACGTTGATGTATTGTTAAATCTTTGAAGAATGTAGACACTCCAACTTGATGATATATTTTGATTCATAGAATGTTTAATTAACATCTAAAAAACACCTTTAAACTATTTAATAATTAGTTTTCAATATATAGCATTCTATTTAATGTAAACAATTTTTGATTCGTAATATTTCTTATCTACATATAAAATATATGTAATGATAACGAGAAGACTTTGTTCATAGCGTGTGATTTGTACGTAAGGAAATATTGTGAAAATACGAAAGTATCAAATAAGTGTAGAGATGAACTCAATCAAACGAAAGTGTTCAAAAAAGGCAATTCTATTAAATATAAAAGAATTCCTCTTTGTGAAATTTATACCATTTGATTAACATTCAAATATTTCCTTCATAGAAAGAAAAAAAATGTGTATTGTTTATTTTTTCATAAAAATGTTGAAAATATAATTATATATAGCTGTTAATTACTATATTTCTCATAGAATTTTCTTATACTTTCAAATAACTATATTATGTATCTATAAGTATGAGATTTATATTTCAGCAGTAAATTCAATTCTTGAATAATTAACATGGATAACCTTATATGCGAAAATGGATAAAAGCCGTCAATCGTTTTAAGAAAATAAGTTATTTTTTCAAATTACGCTAGAATGTAATTAGTACGCATCTATAATTTAATGAGCATATGTGAAATTAATAATACCATCTTAAACTATGATTAGAAGAGAGAAAAAATGAATAGAATAAAATGGAGGAAATTACATTTTTATTTTTTGCATTGTAATTTTAGAGCTATGCATGAAATCAAATCTAATTATCAAAATATTAAATTTAAAGAATATTTATAGAGCGCACGAAGCGCACTAAGGCTGATTCTCCATTAGCCATGAAAATCGTATGCAACAAATTGTTTCCAACTTAAGAATTCAAAATAACTCATTGCAACAGCATTGCTATTAGAAAAATTTTTGCATTACATGTCTAGAAGTAGGGGATTTATATTTTAATAGTATATTAAATTTATGAATAATTGACATGGGTAATAAAAATGAAAATGCACAATCAATAAATATGTTGTTTTAAGAAAACAAGAGATTATGATTTGAAATTATTCTGGAATGAGAAAAACTATTCCTCTGCTTGTATCAAGTCCTCTTATTCTAGAAAAAGATCATTTTACAGTTTTATTAAACGAAAAATCTGTTTATACCAAAAAGACTTCTTTTAGTTCAAGGGGATTTTTTTAATGCTGTTGACCGAAACATCTATAAATTAATTTGCAACCATGTGTACAAGTAATTTTATTTTATAAATTATTATTACATCTCTCAGGAAATTATCTACTGTTTTTTTAATTGATTAAGGCCATCCATAGATAAGAAAATCTCTGATATAGATATTTATCACCTAATATAATTATTTATCACCTAATATGCATAAAATTAAACGAATGATAGCGTTATCGCGGGAAAATTTTTTTTAGGGTCTCTAAAAATTATCGCATTTTTTAATATAATGCAATAATTTCTAGGGACCCTGAGAAAAAATTTTCCAGCGACAACACTGACGAATGGTTAGCTATAGTGTATTTCCAGTTCTTTTCGAATAGCGTCTGCTGAGTTTACTATATTTAAATGATTTGATCTTTCTAGGGTCCCTATATTTTACTATACAACGTTGCACACATGTTAAAGCAACATATCAATGTCATCAATATCACACAGCTGTAGACCGTAGAGTGTATGTAGGTAGACGCACACATAATGCCAAATTTTACGAGAACGAGAAACGGGATCTAGGAGAAGTGGTATGCTAGTGCGTATCTGTGTGCGTATTCCCTGAAAGGCAGAGACAAACTATATATATATACAACATTCTCGTATACTCTGAAAAACTATACTTGGAAAGAGAGAGAGAGAGAGAGAGAGAGAGAGAGAAAGAGAGAAAGAGAGACAGAAAGCGAGAAAGAGCAAGTGAACGAGTGAGCGAGCGAGTGCGAAAGAGAGAGAGAGAGAGAGAGAGAGAGAGAGAGAGAGAGAGAGAGAGAGAGAGAGAGAGAGGAAGAGCTTAGGTTTTTGGCATTAGCACGAACGGTACGCACGTAGCTGTTTTTCTCCATTATAGGTATCCTCCAAGGGCTTGTGCATTAAGCGTCTTGAGCTTGTTCTATTCGCACCTGCTTAAGTACACGCTTTTCGAAGCCATTCGCCAATAAACATATTCACATCATCGAGAATAAAAGGTATGATTTTATATCGTTTTGAAACGACGCTGCCTACGTAGTTTTTCATAATAGCAAATTCACGCTAATCATTAAGTCAGCTAAGCAACATACTATTACCCTCAGTCAGATTTTAACGTGGTCATTCATTTTGCCTTTTTTAGAAGTGGACTTAGAACTTCCTAAATCAAAAATTAGGCTTAATAAGGACCTTATTTTTGTATCCCTATATTTTTATAGAATCGAAAGTTTTTCAGTGTATTATATTCTCTCTCTCTAGTAGATAAGTACGTCACAAACAAAGCTAACCTAGAAAAAGACGGTTACACACTCGAGTCAACTTGGCCTCATTTGCTACTTTTACTTTTTTTTTCTTGTCTTGTTTTCACATAAATTGTCAGTCTGCGTGGAGATTGTATAAATACGATATGTACATCTATATTAACACTTCATGAATCTCATGTTATTTATTCTATCTTCTACTAAATGTATGTCAGAAAACAAGAAAATTGAATATTTTCAAACGGATGAATTATATATATAATGTACATTAATACATTTAGAAAGCAACATTAATAGGATTAATAATCTTGTATCAATATATTTAGTTTTTTATCAGTATTCAAGTTTATTCAATCAAAATAATTAAAAAATAATTGATTACATGTACAATAATTTATTGAATTTATAAAATTAATGAAAATTATTTGCAGATAACAGTTGCTACATTATTATCTAAAAATGTCTGGAGAACAGCAGCAATTTTTTCTCAAATGGAATGATTTCCAATCTAATATGGTTTCTTCCTTTAAACACTTAAGAGACGAGAAAAGTTTTACAGATGTAACGCTAGCTTGCGATGGACAGACATGTAAAGCACACAAAATGGTCTTATCAGCATGTAGTCCATATTTCAAGTCGTTATTAGAGGTAAAGTTTGATCCTTGTCCTTCTCTTAGTTTTTTAATAAGCTTTAATTTATTGTGTGTGTGTGTGTGTCTATATATATATATATATATATATATATAATGCCCTCAATTTTCTGAAATATCGAAGATAAATTTTATTAAAACGATTAAAATATATGCTTACCGTGCACATGCATATATATATATATTGTAATCAATATAATTAATATGCCTTGAAAAAACATTGCACTTTTATATTACTGTATTAACAGCTTCATTAACCATTTTTATAGGAGAATCCGTCCAAACACCCTATAATCATTTTAAAGGATGTAGCATATAGTCACCTTCAGGCAATTTTAGAATTTATGTATGCAGGGGAGGTTAATGTATCGCAAGATCAGTTGCCAGCATTTTTAAAAACGGCGGATCGATTAAAAGTTAAGGGATTAGCAGAAGCTCCAGGTGCCATTAAAAGAGAAGGTTAAACTCATTATGTATTTGTTCCGGTAAGTTAAAAAGCTGTTTTTGTTATTTTTTAACTTCTCTATGGTATGAAGGTATTTTTTGTGTAGTATGAACATTAATCATCAATAGGTAAGGTCAACCCATAAAATAATCAGCAACTCTATTTGATTGAAGGTTTCAATAAAAAAAGATTATTTTACAGGTTGACTTATCTTATTGATAATTAATGTTCATACGAACATAATGGAAGGTAGTAATAATAATTCTAATATTTTTTGTGTCTTTATTTCATAAAATGTTTCATTTTTATATCTATTTAAAATTTAATAAATAAAGAAGTTAAATATTATCCACTATATGTGTATTTCTCTCCATGTTTTTAGTTAAATTGATAATATTACAATCAAACAAGGGAGAAATGAGTTAATAAAGTAAACTTTTAGTCATTAAATTTAGTCAACATCGTTTTGTCAGTAATTTTGCTGACCTTATCAGGCTGTTTGCTTTAGGAATAAATATATATGTAAACTAGAAAATATAACTCATTGCCAGTCCAATTATAATCATAGTTTCAATGTAAAAAATACTATTATAATCATAGTTGAACTGGCAATGAGTTACATTCTCTTTCTCCTCAAACACAAAGCTCAATAAGGTTAGTGATATTACTAACAAAATGTTATTGACTAAATTTAGTGACTAAAAGTTTGTTTTATTCACTCATTGTTCCTTTTTTTATCGTAATATTTTCAATTTTATTAAGTTAAATTTTAGTTTTCTACAATAAGTTATTATTGAAAAGAGCTTATAATTAGTACACCACAATCCCCAGAGAATTAAGAAAAACCAATAAAAATTATAAGTAATTCATAGATTGTAATAAGAATTTAAGTAGTATAACTTAGATAGCCTTTGAAGCATTCAAACAAAATCTTTTTGTAAATTTATAAGTGATATTTATAATTAAGGAAAAAAATTTTTGAGTTTAACATAAACAAGACATGTCAACAAATAAAACTTTTGAATGAATCTAATTTTAATAAAATAATTGTATGCAATTATAATTGATAAAAAAAAATTTTTCAGATATTTAAAAAGCGTGCAGACTGAAAACAAAAGTGTAATGTTATAAAGTGATGGCATTGACAACACACGTATATGAACACCAAACAATCTAAAACACATTCGCACTAGATATAAAAGCCTCTGGTTCTTGACTAGGATCAACACAACTACTAACCTAAAGCAAGTAATTGGATATGATTTTTTTCATTTTAACAATCTCAAAAATTAAACTGTAACAGCATTTAAGCCGCTTGTTGATGTTCGTCTTGAACCCAATAACACTAGAATCACAGTAATTATATTTTTTAAAGAAATACTACAAAAATACAATAATACTAATAATTATAGTAAAAGGTTTAGATAATAACGTGGTTGGCCAGGTAACTTCTGAAAATTCTTGTAACAAACAGTATTATTGCTTTCATTTTTGTCAAGATAATATGCCATATATAACAATTTTTATTTTTCTGGAACAATTTCAATTAATTCTACTAAATTATGTTAATAAATTCGCAATATTTTTTCAATACTAATTGATATCTTAGAAGTTCAAACGCCTGGCTAACAGTTGATACAATTTCACTGACGCGCTTGTTGCAAGCTGTAACGCTATTTTCTATATTAAAACTTCTGTGATTCTCTTTAAGCTTTATTCATTATTTATAAAAGAATAACTGAATATCCTCGGTTGAGCGTTATAGTTTTCAATAAAAGCGATTTTGTAACCAAATACTGCCAGTATTTTTATTGGCGTATTCATATTATTACCTATAGACCAAATTTATTTATGATAATATATAAAATGTTGATTGTCCTGAACCGAGGGAAGTGAATATTATTGTAACATAACGATAATTGAAAAATTTTGTAAAGCCGGAGCGCACAGTTCCTTTTTCCTCCTAAATAAACAGGACCACTGTAGAGAAAAAGAAAACCATTGTGAAGTACATATTGAGGGAAAATAGAAAAACTAAGACGAAATGAAAATGTACGCCGTTCTGTCACGTATAGATTTTTGAAAATGTATCTTTATCATAAAAACATTTTAAGATAATTATTTGAACATTCTATTTTATAATATTTTTTTATACTTGTATATGATTATGGATTTGCTATCAAAGCAAATAACTTACTTTTTGCAAATAGCATTCGAGATGTAGAGAATTGGCATGTATAGAAAGAGAAATACAATGTAAAAAGCATCTCGTTTCTTTAATTTACTTTTAATGAACTTTTATTAATGGAAATCGTATGTGGATTTATTTGAATAAATTAAAGTTGTAGTAGGTGTACTTCATTAATACAGCTGAGGTGATTAATTAGACGATACGTATATTTATACAACAAAAACTTTGCTTGTGTATTATGGTCGATAGTTTATAATAATTGAAGTTATATTTTATCAATTTTGATTTTACGTATCGTCTTTTTTGTCAAATGAAAGTGGAATACGAACTTGAGTATTTTTATGTAAATGACAATTTTCAATTCATATTGATATCGTTTAAGTATAAATTAAAGAACTGGTTTCACTTTAATAGATAAACTTGAAAATTGTCATCTAATAGAATTGGTTATAATAAATGTATTTTGAAAGCAAATTGTTTTATAAGAATATTCGTCTATTACTTTTCAAAAATAATCATTATATTTTGTACTTTTAAATTGAATCTTATGAAATTGAAAAAGTTTTTATGAAAGTTTTTTTTTAATGTTCTACACTCTTAGATTTGTACGAACTCTACACAGTAATTTGTCAAATTAGTGTTACTTTTGCTACCGATTATATGACTTGATGACAATTATAAGTATCGTATAAAAATGTTGACATATAAAATAAATTGTGTAAATACATATAAATAATAACATTTTTTTTACTCTACTATGACCTATTGATCAAGTTTAATATTAGGTATAGATAATGCTAATACCAATGATTAGAGAAGATTTATATGGGAAATAATTTCAAAACAATTGAAAAAAGCCAAGGGAACCTTCTCTTAATTAATTTAAGAATATTACTCGTACTCTTGATAGGGTAATAGATACATATGAGTACTTTTTGGTTATGAGTATATTCCTGATGAAATGTTACAGATCATATTGATGAATGGATAATAAAAATAAAATGAAGTCCAATAAAAAACTAATATTTTTATTATTGAATGCATAAAAATATAAATAGTATAAAATGAACATATAAAAATACTTGTGTAAGTAGAAATATTATAAATAATTACATGTTATGCAGTCAGCTTCGTACATAGCTCAGAAAATTTTAGAATACACTCAGTTTTTGCCACAATCAAGTTTGTTCAATCTTTGTTTCATGAATAATTCAACGAACATTCTTTAATTATAATCTGAACTAATTAGTATCTGCATGCTACTTAACATTCTATTATAAATTATTTTCTAAAATGTAATTTATGATGCTGTTATGATATCTAAAGTGGAGTATTTCTTCGATTTATTATCATATTGTCTTTTAGCCAATTTTATTAAGACGGATCTGAAATAATCAAGTTACAAACATGAATTGGATACAGAATTTGGCATTGGAAATTTATAAACGGGATATTTTGGTACAAATTGGACCGTAGATCCATGAAGTCTTTGTTCATTTTGATTAGAAACGGTGTTAACTCCATAAACACATTCTTCATATGATGGAGGCGCTGAAATAGAAAAAAGATTAAATTATGATAAAAGTATGTAAAAACATTAAAATAGATCATTTTTTACAGATAAGGGAAATATTTTTGAAAGACTTCGCGCAATGAAAAAGCGCTACTTATATTCAAATTAGTCATAGAATAATTATTGATAAATATAACGAAAAAAATTGTTAATATTTGTCATGCATGTTGTAATTTCTTATTGTCTTTTTTTCTAAAATTGGATCTGTAGTTTTGTTTATTCAGAAAATACATTTTGTGGAATCATCTTTCAGAACAGTTTAATCATAAAAAACTTAAACAAAACTCAATATAATAAATAAAACTGATCGGTATTATATTACTAATAATGAAATAAATTATTAAAACTATAAAGAAAATATAATTTACTGTGTGAAAGTAAACAATTGATTTTAAATTAATTAAATTACGTTAAATTGAGAAATATCAAAACTATTTTATCAAAAATAAAACTTTTTCAAGTTAGGTGATTTTAATAATTCTAAAACAGTACAGACCCATCTCTGGTTGTGATGGATAAGCAGGAGTGCGGATGTGTGCGTCCATTAAGGCAAAACCAATGTGTGGTGGCTGAGGCATCGGTTGTGGAATAGAAGTGACTTGATCGATTGGCGGAGCTGAAGGAATATAAGGTGTGACTGAATAATGTGACAAATTTGCCGTTTGATGAAACAGAGGCACTGTTCCTAGTTGCACTGGATAAAGACGCTTTATGTTGAAGTGTCTGAAACATTGAGTATGATTATTAGAAACTTCTACTTTTCTTCTTAATATTTTTAAACTCACAATCCTGAAACGTTAATGCAGAGAGCAAGCTGATAACTGACACGGATAATAGAACAATATTCTAAATTTGAGGGAGGCAGTGACGGTACTTGAATATTTAACAAACTTTCACCTTTCTTGCCAAAAGGTCTATTTTTTTTAACTTTTTCTACAATTTCTGTATCAAACATTTTATCGGGAATTGGCGATGAAGCATGAAATGTCATATTCTGCAAGAAAGCCAATATTTTTAATTAAAATTTTTACTTGAAATTTAATTAGTTACTTTTTCTCAAACCTTTTAACGTACTAATTATAACAATTAATTACCTTAATCAATTTCAATTTCAACTTTGTTATGTTAACTCGAGTAGAGTAGTTGTCATAGTTAATTAGCATTTTGATTATCTCTCCTGGAACAAATCCGCTCACTTGGCTGTCCGCATTAATTTTCATTCCACCAGAAGTACAGCAACCGCAGTAAAGGAATGTGCGTGTAATCTCGTCATGGATACCCGACTGGAATACGAATACAATTTTATTCATGTTCTTTTTAGTCTATGAAGGTCACATGAAGTTTGTCCTATTTAATAAAAATAGTTACATTAAATTATGGTTTAATAGTACATGAATAGTGTGACTCGATTCTTCAACAGGTCATTACGATACTAGATATACGAAGAAAATGCAGTCTTATCTGTAGCGCCTTACTGCACGAAAAGTAATATTTTTTTAAAAACAAAGTCAACTTCAAATTCATTTTTTGGCAATCACTAATGTTTTGATTAAACTAATAGTAAAACAACCACCACGGAAGAATAATCAAATGAGCCTACCCACACTGAAATCGGTTGATCCGTTCCAGAGATAGGCACGATCATACATATAAAATATTCAGATAGAATAGAGAACTTCCTCCTTTTCGAAGTTGGTAAAATATGTCAGAAAGCTCTATAACTTTTGCTTTTTGCAACTATATTTCACGGAAAGATTGTATGGTATATCAATGCTGTTGAACATGCAAATGTGCCCCAACCATAAATGTTGAACTTACAGTAACGTTTTCCTGAGTATTCAAATTATACGGGGCTATAACCGAAAATGCTGATAGAACTTTGTGATCGAATTTCCAGGGTCGATGAAGTATCGCGTTCACAACATATCGAACACGTCCATATTTATGTTCTATACTGCAGGGAATGTTGAAAGGCAATTGAAAAGAAAAAAAATAAGAATGTTGACCCGCTGGTATTGTTGTTTGTCCATCTGCTGTTCAAACATAGAATATTATGCGAATATTTATCAGGTTTAATTTATAATAAGTTCATAAAATTAAATGAATTTCTTTATAATAAAATATGTAATACTTGTAAGACGTAATCGTACTTATTATTCTTTTATTTTTGAACTATATAAAAATGAGATGGACGTTGTAGTGATCAATGAAAGATATTTTACTAAGGTTTTTGGTCAATCAATTTAGCATGCATTAACAATATTATGTGTTACAAGAGCTGGTATTTTGAAAACGTAAAATTGCATTATGTAGCACATTCATAATTACAACACGACATTGACAAAGATTCTCCAAACTTTTTGACGTATAATATGTCATTTTTGCACATGTTACGTGACTTCTCAAATGTTATTATGATTACTGTTATTTTTTTGAAATTGCGCAATAAACTAAAGCAAAAAATGCAGTTGTGTTCTAATGTTCGTGAAGTTTCGTAATCGTTATATACGTACCAGTTCCACTGCCGAGTAATCGATTTGATATGCTAAAATAATGTTCACTGTTTTTGTAATGATCAGTATGGCGGTGACGGCGACCACTACTGTCTTTAACTTTGCGGTTTTTGGTCCAGTGAACTTCCGCTGCTCCACGAGCTTCCAATCGTATCTCTGTAATAATATGCAATAACCACAATTGTAGATAGTGTGACAAAAGTGTCAAGAACGTATTACTACGTAATGCGTTATACCGAAGTTCCGTTCATCATGTCATTGTGTCTATTCTTCGTTTCTCTTTTTAATTTCGTTTTATATACTATGCATGATCATCGGTTACGAGCAACAAATTCTTTTTTCTTCGTAATCCGGAATCACAAGCGATTTTCGAGTTCATTGCAATTTCATGATTAGTTCATAATCTGTAAATAGTTCGCCGTGACTCATTGATGATATTGATTATCACTCTGAATTTTCCAACGTTAATTTATGTTTTCGCGAAAAAGTGTTGTATAATATTATCTAATTTATTTTCAATTCTGAGCTTCCTTAGCAAAATTGCTCTAAATCAATACAATCATTTGATTTTATTCTATAAAATTATGACAACATTCGTTCTCAAGTTAATCTTCTACAAGAAATTATTTTAAAGTAATTAGAATCAAACTAAAATTACTGTATTTATCTAGGTCAATTTGACCAGGGAATTTGTTTCCAGACTATATTATAGTAATCAAATGATGAGAAAAAACATCGAAATACAGACAATTTAACGATGTTTATAGATATAACATTTGAAGTTATTTTGACATCATATGTTGAGATATTATTATTCGAAAAATGTTGATAGAGTAAAACATCTGATCGAAAAAAATTAGATTTTCAATTAAAGCAGATATCATCCCTACTCTATATTACGTTTGGAAGTTATATGTATACATACACACATGCGTGCGCACGCGCGCACACAACTGTCAGATGGCAGATGGTAGTTGTCATGTATGCATGTGCTCGCACTATTTGAATATTACCCTTATTCTACGGGCCTTCTATCTATAAATTCATGTGCTATCAAAACTAATATTTACAAAATTTGTTATAAATATGCATTAAATATTGTACTAACATGTCATAATAATGTTTTGTAATAGTATTGACGAAATTTCGAATGTAGAAAGAGCAAATTGTAAAGCTACATCAAAATTGATTAATTATAATTTGATAGTAAAATTCTGAAACACGACTGAGCAATTTGAAAAATATAGCCGATTCAAAAAGTCGTTAACAAATACGAATGAATTTAGTCGTTCTCACCTTTAACATTTTTCGAGCCGGAAAGATTTAAAATAACTTTTCCAGACACATTTTCTCCAGGTTCGTAAGTGGCATCAGGTTTATCGAAGTCTATGCGGAAATCTTGCAATTTATGCATGGCGTTCTGTAGCTTTTCTTATTCAGCAGCGAGTTTCTAATATATAGGTATTGCAATGGAACCGAACAATGGTATAATGACTCGATCAGCAGGTTGGTTAAACTTTGTCTATATTGCACGATGCGCTGACGCGCGAATTCGGCGAAATAATACACAATGTAAAGATTATTTGTTACATATAACTATATATAATATATAACAAAAATATCAGAATTTTATTATTCATCTACAAATGCATCAGCCACACGTTGTCTCACCTGATATTGTGTGTACAACAATGAATAGGATTTAGTAGGAGAGATGGCAACCACAACGTGTAAAGCGCGATGTTGCCAGATGTGTTTTTTAACCGCGTTATTTAAAATATTTTCGAGACACAAGCACAGCATAAATTCATAAAATATCATGGACTTCGTGATTGATTATTATTATTATTATTATTTCATTTATAGACAAAAATTATCAATGATGACTGAAACAATTAATTTAGTATAGATTTTATTTGTTTATACTTAGATTTTTATAAAAAACACATAATAAAAATTTTTTATACAAAAATCTACTCTTATATTTACAATTAGTAAATTTTTAATTCTAAATAATTAAATATTCATGTAATTTTTGGTAATAATATTTAAGCATGAAACCAGTAATAATAGGAAAAGACCAATTTAGAATGACACTAAGCGATCAATATATTAGCAGTGTTTTCTACAATTAAAAGATATTTTTCTTATCGAAACAATATATCAATAATCTACTATATATATCAATGAAATCAAATTATAGTCTAATATTCTTATCAATACTTTAAATAACGAGAAGGTGCACACACACACGCGCGCGCGCGCGATATAAATTCTTATTTTATATAATTTGTTATATATTTTATAAATTTGCAACTATATGAAAGTAAAATAATAAATTCAAAAGTTTTATTAAATATATCGAAAAAAGTTATTTTTTATTTTTTTTATGCACATGATTTCCAAAAAATATTTTAATAGAATTCCGTGATTCTATCAACTCAAGAAATGCAATGTATATAATTATCTGTGGTTAAAGACATCCCTATATGTAAGTCAATAACTACTTTTCCGAAAGTTTGTCCTTGAGATTTATAATTAGTCATAGTATACTATGCTAATTTAATTGAAAATTGTCGTATAACTATACGAGTATATGGGTAATTCTAGGCTATTTCGATTGACTTGTAACCCTTAGATTACGGATTTTTTTTTAATTTGGCACAATTATTGTACACATAAAACTGAGATTTTTCCCAAATTTTGGAGACGATACATTAATTATATCAAAAGTTATTAACAATTAAAGAAAAATGATAAAAAATTTTCAAACAGCTATATTTTAAAAACTAATAAAGATATCGAAGTCGGATTTTTTTCAAAATACTTATAATGCCTTAAAATTTCGAAATAATTACAACAATAAACAATAAAAATTTTTTTTCGAAAGTTATTAACTTTTTGTTTAAACAATTGCTAATATCTCAAAAAGTATATTTTTTTTTGAAAAATTCTTGCTCCTACGTATTCCTGAGGATTTTTGCTATCGAAATCAATCATAAAATTCAAGGGCCCGATATATCGGAAAGCGTAGCCCTAATCAAAAGAAGACGCCTCGGCGTAAGGCTGCGGTAGCGCTCCAGCGGACTCACGGTCGAAAGGTACTTTAGCTTTAATCTAAAAAACTAATAAAGATACCGAATCGGAGTTTTCCCAAATTACTTATAATACCTTGAACTTTCGAAATAATTACAACAATAAACAATAAAAATTTTTTTTCGAAAGTTATTAACTTTTTGTTTAAACAATTGCTAATATCTCAAAAAGTATATTTTTTTTTTGAAAAATTCTTGCTCCTACGTATTCCTGAGGATTTTTGCTATCGAAATCAATCATAAAATTCAAGGGCCCGACATATCGGAAAGCGTAGCCCTAATCAAAAGAAGACGCCTCAGCGTAAGACCACGAAGACGTCCTGCTGTCGTTGCGACGTACACTGAGGCATCTTCTTTTGATTAGGGCTACGCTTTCCGATATGTCAGGCCCTTGAATTTTATGATTGATTTCGATAGCAAAAATCCTCAGGAATACGTAGGAGCAAGAATTTTTCAAAAAAAAAATATACTTTTTGAGATATTAGCAATTGTTTAAACAAAAAGTTAATAACTTTCGAAAAAAAATTTTTATTGTTTATTGTTGTAATTATTTCGAAAGTTCAAGGTATTATAAGTAATTTGGGAAAACTCCGATTCGGTATCTTTATTAGTTTTTTAGATTAAAGCTAAAGTACCTTTCGACCGTGAGCCCGCTGGAGCGCTACCGCAGCCTTACGCCGAGGCGTCTTCTTTTGATTAGGGCTACGCTTTCCGATATGTCGGGCCCTTGAATTTTATGATTGATTTCGATAGCAAAAATCCTCAGGAATACGTAGGAGCAAGAATTTTTCAAAAAAAAAATATACTTTTTGAGATATTAGCAATTGTTTAAACAAAAAGTTAATAACTTTCGAAAAAAAATTTTTATTGTTTATTGTTGTAATTATTTCGAAATTTTAAGGCATTATAAGTATTTTGAAAAAAATCCGACTTCGATATCTTTATTAGTTTTTAAAATATAGCTGTTTGAAAATTTTTTATTATTTTTCTTTAATTGTTAATAACTTTTGATATAATTAATGTATCGTCTCCAAAATTTGGGAAAAATCTCAGTTTTATGTGTACAACAATTGTGCCAAATTAAAAAAAAATCCGTAATCTAAGGGTTACAAGTCAATCGAAATAGCCTAGAATTACCCATATACATATTTGTATATACCTATTTTATCCATTTTCTTGTCACGAATAAGTTTGCCAAAAATGTCATTAACAAAGCTTGTTGTAGATGATAATATACATTGTTAAGAAATATCGATATAATCATTCTTATCATTCAATGTATCATTTCCGATATCTAACAGAAAATTCGAAAATTCAATTTCGTTTAATTTCTTATTTCTCTGACTTAATAATAATATTATAACGTACTACTGCTGTAATAGGTAGGCTATATATATATATATATATATATATATATATATATATATATATATATATATATATATATATATATTCTGGCTCACTTTCTCCGAGGGACCGCGTGGTCGACAACGTGGTCCTCGGCGTGGAGCTATGTATGTTCTAGCTCACTTTCTTCTGAGAGCTAAAATAAATTGATATCAAGTTTATTTAGTGATTATTTCAGTTTTTGAATAATTTATAGTGTGGATTTGTTGTAATGAAATTAAAAAAATAAAGGAACATGTTGGGGAATCGAATCCGCATCCCATAGAGTTTACAGGTCAGCACTCTACCTGCACACTGGAGCAATCGCTGCACATTTTGTGGCATAGGGCCCAAGCATGTGATGATGGGGTACGCGCATCATACTATAGTTATCAACTATAGTTGAAATTCAGGGAGGCTTGGAAGCGCACGGAGGTAAGGAGCACGTGCTCTGGCGAATGCTAGTGTCTATCCAAATCCACACCTGAGAACGCTAGCGTGCTTAGAGCGGATAGGGCATAACCTAGTCCCTCTAGTCTATTATAGTAGACTTCGTCGATATTATGAGTGCAGCTGGACGACTGTTTTCTTTCTGAAACGTTTCTTGCTCCCAAACCTCTCCACCTATCCACCCACTAGTTTACTTTATTAGTTGTTTTGATTGGTAGAATGAATTTGTAGATAGATTAATATAATTTAGTAATTATTTTTATTGGTCGATTATACATTGAATATAGAATGCTTTAATTGTCTATAATCTTTATTCTCTATAGTTGACACTGCGCTGAATTTTTAAATGTATCATAATCAACTTCATCCATTCCTTCTGGTCCAGGCTGCTTTTGTCTCTCTTTAATCCACAAATATAATTTTTTTCATTTGTAAAAGCGCACACAAAAAGCCAGATCGATTCTGATAATGATATGCACAGGGCGTTTTTAATGGAAGAGGTAACTTATATCAGTAGTATAGCTTTATGTTCATTCTGGCTCCGAAAATGAACGATAAAAATGGAAGCTGTTCCTATGACTTCATGATACGATGAGAGCTGGCTCTTGACGTAACTGATACGCGTAGAAGTAATGCCAGGATACGGTGGATGTTGGTGGGTGATGTGATTCATACGACGGAGGTGGGAAGGCGGCATCAGGATACGGGAGGAAAGGTGGCTAGTGACGCGAGGATATGATGATAGAGAGTGTGAGCACCACACTGCCACATGTTCGGGCCCTATGCCGCCAAATGTGTAGCTAGCATAGATAATAAGAACTGGTTTCAGTTAAGGCATCCGTAAGCAACTGTTTACGTGCAGAGTGTGCTCAACGTAAAAAGTTGTTCAGTACAGTAAAGGGGCTCCTGGACTATAATAACTCATTATAGTCTATACTATAGGATCCTGGCTCGACGTAATAGCATTTATTACGTCGGAGGAATAGTACAGAAAACTTCCCTGTAGAGGGCTTTGCACGGAAGTTTTTTGTATTACGGAATATTTTCAATCGTAATCTTATAACCGTTTAGGGTTAAAAAGCTGCTTACGGGCACCAAAACTGAAAAATTGTTAACGTACCTTAAGCTATGCCACGTTGTATTTACGTCTCGGGACTTTTTGAAGGGGAAGGGGTCAGATCATCCTCGGCCGGTGCGCAGCCTCGGACACTCCAGTGTCCCCTTCATCAAAACGTCCTTCAACGTAATAAGATGTGGTATAGCCCAAGATACGTAAATAACTAATAAGGTACGCGTGGCGATGGCTCCAATGGTAGAGTGTTGGCCTGCGAATTCAGGGGATTGCGGGTTCGATTCCTCGACATGTTCCTTCATTATTTAAATTTAATTGCGCCAAATCCACACTATAAATTATTTAACAACTGAAATAATTACTAAATAAACTTGATATCAGGAGAAAGTGATCCAGATCATGCATAGCCTATCTACTTATTATACAAATACAGAAATAGCTTTTAGTTGACGTTATAAATAATGTGAAATATATTTTTATTGTGAAAAGAATAGAAAATACCCGATGCTTGTACTTCTGTCTTTGCTGATATACGCCACCTAACGCTACTTCCTATAAGTATGTGTCCGCTCGGTCAGTCCTTGCTGGACAAGTTACCGCGTCGGTCCGCGCTAAACGCACATTTTACCTCTCTTCAATCTAATACATCACCATCT